TGGAGAATGTGGCAACATCATTGAATTCAACTGTTGCTGGCTGTATTTTAGATCCATGTACAAAAATTCTGGAGAGTTTAGAAAAGCTTACATTAGGCATGGATTTGGAATCGGTGAGTATTCTGTATCTCTGAAAATTGCCATTACATAATGTATAAATTAAAAAGAAGTGGTTAAATGCCAAAATGCAGATTTCCTTTACGTTTACGTGAAAGAAGGACTAACAGTCTACTGTGTGGTAGCAATTCTGTTTTCAAAATCGCTGTTCTGAAACCCTATCCCTGATATGCTGGGCCGGATTGCATCAAACTATGTATATTCTGAATGTACCACATATTTACATGCTGACAGGCAGCCAATTTAGTGGAAAAACTCCACCAAAACTAAGCATTCCTACCATTCAACATGGATTTAGTTGATTCATATATATCGTCCATAACACAGCCATCCAAAATCTTGTTTACGGGCGATGCTTCAGCAAGATGGGCAATCTTTTGGTTACAAAAAACGCTGTCAATTCATTCACAAGTCATAGAAATTATCTAGTGTAGGTCTGCAATGATTATTAGGAACTGTCTTTGATTTGTTTTTATACAGTCATTTTATCATTGACACATTCATTCATGCATTTATTGCACTCTAGATTCCTAGCCTTGAAGATGAACTTGAAAACATAAAAAATGTGACTGATCAGGATTTTTCTGAGCAAAAAGATAAGGTAAGAGTTTATCTTTTCATAAGTAACAATTTGTCACCACATTTCTGTCAGCGATGATCCATTTTTGCTTTAAATTATATTTGTCTTTGATTGTTTTCTCAATTTATTGATTACATTCAAACTAGATACCATGTGGAGAAATGTCTTTATCAGATTTCAGTGGTTCAGAGATGTTACAAAGACAACAAACCATACCTTAATTCAGGCAGTGGAGTCAATACGGCCAACAGGCTGTCATTCTTGGACTGAAATGAATTAAAGTTTCACTGTCATCTCACAATGCAATGTATGCGTTCTATGCGTCTCACATGGGACTTCGATATGACATGGTTGATTTTGTATGTTTTAGTAAATTCTTTCAGTGTTGGAAAATGCTTTTTCTCTTTGAATTGAAATTCCTCAAACTTCTCTAACATATATATTTCTCTAAACAAATTTTAGGCTAGAGAAAACTTTGACAGTATTCCTGAAAAAATAAACAACGAAACACAAGATTTTGTGGATGAGGTGTTGGTAGCATTAAATGATTTTCAAAATCAAACCGAAGACGGATTTCATGAATTGGATGATTTTGTGCAAGATGTAAGTGACTTTTTTAAGCGATGGAGTTGTCACCTGCGCATGTGGGAAACGACTATAGTCGTTGTTGTTGTTCACAAACATGCATCTACACATGAGCCTTTGTGGTTTTAGCATCCTATCGTCACTTAGAACTCAATTCCCACATTTGTGCAGGTGACGCCCCCTCCGCTTTAAGTATTCATTAACTAGTCAATGTTTGTAAGCCTGATGAGACAATGTTTGAAGGCTGGGGTGTTCTGTTGGTAGATGTTAACTACAGTCAAACTTGGATATAGTGACCACTCAAGGGACTTCACTAAAATAGACAGGTAGCCTTTATCTGGTTTGTTTGTTTATTCGCTTATCGGCTCAACGACTCGTACATTTTACATAATCTTTTTTAGACAGTACACCTGCAGCAAAAACACATTTATTTGTGTTGATCAAAATCAGAAATCATATAAGGCAGACCTTAGATATTTAATATTTGATTTATATAAAACGAAAATTCTAATTATTATTTTGGTGGAAAAGCAGCATTAGCTTTTTTAAACACAGTGATAACAGCTCATTGTCAAAACACAATATTTTCATTCACGTTAATGGTCAAATATACATTGTATACTTGAATTGGCATTAGGTGATAGAAAGATTGAATTTTTCCAAAAATGTAACATGAATAAGAATGATTATGTTATTTAAAAAACGCTATTTACTAAAATAATTAGTATCACTTTTGTCTGACTTATGCAGTTTGAAGAAGAAATAAATGGTCTAGACGATGATGACATATGGGAGAAAATCAAACAAATTGATGATTATAGGTAGGAATTGATTCTATTAAATATCGCCAATTTTTATTCACACACTTAATGTACCATTCATAACTATGTACATTCTTATATCAAAAACTATGCGGTATATTTCATTATTTTAGGTATTATACATGCATTGGTTTAGCCTGCTTGACTTTACTCATTGTAATATTCAACATTGTTGGTATGGCAATGGGTACGTGTGGGACAAAGAAATCGGCACACCCTATGGAGAGAACTAGATTATCAAATGCAGGAGGAAATACACTGGTTGCGTAAGTTGTATTAGCAATGTCTAAATTTTTTCGTCATTATGAACAGCAGTTATGCTGTGAACATAGAGTTAGCAGTATCCTTGAATACAGCCTGATTCTGTGTTTGGTGATCACATAATTTCAAGGTTGACTCATTTGGTGTCTTGCTATATTTTTTTTTCACCATGCATGCCTGTTATTACTCGTGCGTATAACAAGATGTCACAGTGATGTTACTTTCACGTCCGATCTTTATAAATGTGTCTCACTTCTAATGTTAAACTTTTACCTTTTCCAGTGGCGCTGCATTCTCTTTTTTCTTTTCTTGGTTGCTGGTTTTGCTGGTGATGATTATGTTCTTTGCACTTGGTAATATTGCTCAACTGTGTGAACCACTGAATACATTGGAACTATTTGAAGAGGTTTGTAAAAAAATTTTTTACTCAAACAATCAACATCAGTATATGATATTGGTGTATATATTCATTCTACATCATGTCATAAAATATACAGGTGTTTTAGTTTGGTGGTCTGACTCATAATGCTCAATCGGTGACCATTTTGTTTTAATTAATGCTGTTCCAGAACAATACAAACTCATTTGACAAGCAGATACAAGATGACAGAACGCCAATCATTTTAATGTTTATGATAACTTTTGATGAAGTAAGGGTATCTCAACACAATATTCCCTTCTCACTGATCAACATTGAGCTATAAAAAAAGCAAATCAAATTGTTTGATCTTTGTGGCAGACACTAGATCCGTGCATTTCATACAATGAGCAGGATATTACACTAAACTGAAAATCACCTGTTGTCTTTGGTGCAAAATTATCATACATTTTGTACCCAAATGTAAATGTCATACATAGGAAGTGTAATTTACCATGATCTGTTATTTCTACAATAGACAATAGATCAACCTGGACTAATAACAGATGGGTACTGGTTGGGTGATACTCTTTATCCTGATGAGAACTCTAACTTGACTGTATCTGGTCTCCTTGAGGACTGTGGACGAGATGAACCTTTGTATGATGCATTACAATTAGTACATTTCTTCAATGTGAGTGAACTGACCGAATATAAAGAGGTAAGTCTTGTCAAGTTGCTTGTTTGACAGTCGGAACATTGGTTGTGACTGCTTAATAGGTGTGATTACTTAGATGAGTATCAGTACTGTAAAATGACTAATTTTCACTGGGTTTAAATTTCGCTGATTTACCATTTCAGAAATGTTCAGTGCGTTTTAAATTAGCGCAATCTCCAGTCAGCAAAATAAGCCAAATTAAAACCCAGTGAAAAATTAACCCCTTTACAGTATTTGCTCTAATTAAGGTTCAGTTTAGTGTTGTTACAACTATAGTTACTAGTTTTTTAGCTCCGCTGTCGACTTTGTCGAGCGAAGCTTATCATATGAGTGATTGTCTGTCGTTGTTGTCTGTCGTCGTCGTCCGTGTCAATGTTTTACTTTTTCGACTTCTTCTTGAAAACTACAAGCCTGAATGCTTTGATACTTGGTGTATATGTACCTTGGGTAGACCTCTCTTAGGTTTGTTCATTTCATGTTGATATCTTCAATTCTCTAATTTTGGTGAATATTTTTGTTATTTTTGGTAAAAAGTGATATTTTCGACTTCTTGTTAAAAACCGCAAGTGCAATTGCTTTGATACTACATATATAGGTACTACATGTGGACCTTTCTCAGATTTGTTCATTTTGTAATGATATCTTTAATTCTCTAATTTTGGTGAATATTGTTGTAATTTTTGGTAAAAAGTGATATTTAGGGGCCCAAGCCCTTAGGGCGTGGCCCCTATTCTTATTGACCGTTTTTTTAGGGGCCCAAGCCCGAAGGGCTAGGTCCCTATTATTATCGTTCGGTTTTTTCTTCTTTCTTTCTTTCTTTCTTTCTTCGTTCTTCCGTATCTTTTTTTGTCAAGCCGCTGAACAGAATGGTCTGATAATGCTCTATACTGATAGTCCCTAATGTGAACTGGTGCAACATGCTTTCAGAATTTTGATTGGCCAATTAGTTTGGCAGCCATATTGGATTGAAATAAAACCGGAAGTGGCTGTTTGACCACTTTCTGAGGGTCTAGGCATCTAGATTTATTTAGGGAATATAGTACAACTCATGTGTAATAAATATCAGCAATAAAAACTTTAGCGGTCACGTGACTTTTCCCGTCATTTTGTTTTTCCTAAAAACAGCAAAAAACACTTTAAAATCTTCTTCTTCAGAACCGCTGAGTAAAATGTTCTCATATTTAGTACTCAGCTTCCACATATAGTGCAGATTTAGATTTGAGAAATTCATTATGATTGGTCACGTGGTTTGGCCGCCATTTTGGGTTTCTTCTAAACAGGAAGTAGTTTTTTACTCATGCCACACTTGAGGGATTATTTTCAATATTGCTGTATGGCATCTCTATATCAATCTCTTTCAGAAACCTAAAAAAGATTTCAGATCAGTCATATGGTTTGGATGCCATCTTGGATTTTAAGGAAAATTGACCAAAAGTTTGGGCATTTGTTTCTCAGAGGTGATTCAACCAATCTACTAGATGTTTGCATATTTACCATGCCTGGCCTTAGCTCCATATGAGAAAAATAATATTATTTTGATCAGTCACATGGTTTGGCCGCCATCTTGAATTTTGTGAAAATAGAAATTATGCAACTATATGTTTTATATTAGTCTGATTTCTTTCAAATTTTGTAAGTGCATTTGTGTCATCAGATGCATCATTTTGCCCCAATAGCACACTGCTAGGCCACGTGGCTGGGCACCCATGGGGTGGGGGCTTCTAACCTTATTAATATGCATAACTGTTATAACTCGAGCACTGTTGTAGTTAAGAAGATGAATCCTGTGTTATGAGAACGTTGAAAAAGAGATTTGATTAAAATAACAGATGACCATATATGGTCATGTGAGCTCATTAATATGCATAACTGTTATATCTTAAACGCTGTTGCAGTTAGGAAGATGAATCTAGTGTTATTATGGCAACATTGAACAAGACATTTGATTAAAATAACAGATGACCATATATGGTCATGTGAACTCATTAATATGCGTAATCGTTATATCTCAAACACTGTTGCAGGTAGGATGATGAATCCTGTTTTATTATGATAACGTTGAGCAAGAGGTTTAATTAAAATAACAGTTGACCATATATGGTCATGCAAGGTCATTAATATGCATAAGCACATACCTCATTATCTTTTTAAAAAAAACATATCTCGATAACCGTAACCAGGTAAATACATGGAAACTTACCTTAATGGCAATCCAGTGACGTCATTATTTATGGAATATACATGTTTGTGTGATAGCTTGGGGACCCTGTGACGCTGCTTGCAGCTTTAATTTCGACTTCTTGTTAAAAACCGCAAGTCCAATTGCTTTGATACTACATATATAGGTACTACATGTGAACCTCTCTCAGATTTGTTCATTTCGTGATGATATCTTCAATTCTCTAATTTTGATGAATATTTTTGTAATTTTTGGTATAAAGTGATATTTTCGACTTCTTGTTAAAAACCAATAGTTCAATTGCTTTGATATTAAATATATAGATACTACATGTAGACCTTTCTCAGATTTGTTCATTTCGTGATGATATCTTCAATTCTCTAATTTTGGTGAATATTTTTGTCATTTTTGGTAAAAAGTGATATTTTCGACTTCTTGTTAAAAACTGCAAGTCCGATTGCTTTGATATTACATATATAGATATCTCAGCCAACAGGCTGCTTGTCTATATACTGATACTAAAACCTGATACTAAAACTGCTTGTTTAAAATATCTGAAATCTTTCAAAAACAATATTGTTTGTGATTGATGGGGGGGTGGTGGTGAAAATCAACACTATATCAGATTCCTTTAACCATTTACATTACAGAACTGCATCATCGTTTTGTATTTTCAGTATTCTATGTTGTTTCATTTTTAGGAACTCGGTATTGAGGAGAAATTGGATTCTATTGACATCAACTTGGAGGATATTGATATATTCACCACTGATATGGAGAAAGCTTTACGAGATTTCCAAGATGCTTTGAATGACACATCATTTACTGATTTTACTGATGAGGTGAATATAAAACCTGGCAAAATTGTCCTCACTTGTATGGGTTTTTTCAGTAAGTTCTATGTTAATGAATGGGCTGGACATAATTTCACATTGGTAACATTCTGTGTAGAAATTAAAACAAGTTCCCAGTGTCAATCCATCCAAATGTTCGTACTAAAAAACACCTATCATGTCAAAACTTGGTCTGTGTGTGATAATTCTTCATTTCTGTGGAAATAAAACAATACATGTACCATTATTATAGATAACCATACCCTTGACATGTGAGTTGATAGTACCATGATCATTATTGTCCAAATTTATTCAAATATTAATGGAACTGAAATTTGATCTGAAACATTTCTTACTCTTCTTTCTCAATGTTCTTCCCTTGATCAGGAATAGCTTGCTACTTTTATTAAACCCATTTGCACAGAGATCTGTTGAGTTGTGAAGAAATTCTATACATATATTTATTTATTTGAGTGTGATGTTTTGGGACTACTTTATTGCATGCATCAGAATACATTTTGTACATACTTTTGTAATGGTGTTATATGTCGCCTTATCACCCGAATGTATGGATGTGTTCCTGATTCAACACATAAGAGAGAATGACAGATTCTGATGACTGTGCTTCCCGGATCATAAGCCCCAGGGCTTGAACATTTAAAATTGGGAAAATAGAGGTAATGAATATTCAGTGGTTAATCAATGTATTTATTGTCCACTCCACAGTTGAGTAATAATGTAACTAATGTGGATTTAACAGAATATGCTGATACTATTGACAATCTAGCTGCAAATATCTCAGATGATGTAAGTAATATTTTGCTACTGTTTCTAAGTTCATTTGTTTGAATATTTTTATTTTTTATTTATCATATATACTGTTATAATAACTTTTGAAGAAAATTAATAATTTCTAATGAGTTTTATTGTTATTTTACATGTTCATGTAGATTTAATTTAGCGTATTTTAAACTCAGTGAATAATTAATGCATTTACAATATAAATTTCCATAGTAAACAGTAATGCATTTATGTAGTTCACTGTGATGGGAAGATTCTTTTCTGTATTCATTGTGTTTCTCCTTTTCATCACTAGGCAACTCGATGGGCCCTTACAAATGATTCTCAAGAGCTCCGAAGGATCGACAAAGAGTTGGTAGAACCCATGGAAGATGCTGCTGTGAGTGGATTATTTGTTACTATTGTAATGTACTCAAATCCTAAATTTACCCTCTAAAGCGAAACTCATGGAAATTCATTACTTTTTTGTCTAATGATAAAATAATACACAATAAAACTAACATAAGGTTATCATTTGATTTGACTCATACAAGTGAAGGAATATCCTGATATGATAAATGCTACTATCATTCAGGTGTACCGGTACTTACTTTGATCTCTATATTTTCTATATTTCTATATGATAAAATAATACACAATAAAACTAACATAAGGTTATCATTTGATTTGACTCATACAAGTGAAGGAATATCCTGATATGATAAATGCTACTATCATTCAGGTGTACCGGTACTTACTTTGATCTCTATATTTTCAATGTATTTATTACAACTTCTCATTATTTTCATCTTAAGGACCATCTTGTTGTACAGTTGACTGCACTAGAGAAAATAAATGATGAAATACAATCCAGTATTGATGTAATAATTGTTGAAGCCCAGGCAGCCGAGGATCAGATAAATTCAAATGATACTGAGGAGATTCTTGTCAACACTACTCACTTATATGCTGAAGAATTACTTCTAGTTACAGATGATTACGTGAATTACGCTGTCACACAGGTAAGATTCTTGTCAGCACTACTCACTTATATGCTGAAGAATTACTTCTAGTTACAGATGATTACGTGAATTACGCTGTCACACAGGTAAGATTCTTGTCAGCACTACTCACTTATATGCTGAAGAATTACTTCTAGTTACAGATGATTACGTGAATTATGCTGTCACGCAGGTAAGATTCTTGTCAACACTACTCACTTATATGCAGGAGTAGACTTTAATACCAATTCACTGATTAAGAATGGATTCTTAGTTGAAGGTTCACAATCCTACCCTACACTATCAAATTAATAAAACTAGTTTACTGCTACAAATAATGCTAATATTGAGGTATTATACATTGCAGACAGCTGTATAATTGAAGGAATGTTTGTTAGAAATGTAATTGAAGTAAAACCACAATAACTAGCAATATTTGTTTAATTTAGATATTGAACAAAATTCTAATGTCTAAATAACTTTTATTTAAAATTTCATCCCTTTGAGTGCTGAATATTTTTTCTGCCCAAAATTTAGTCATACATTTTCACATCATTTGTCATCATCATCATCAGTTCAGATGTTGTTTTTAGGTTTTGATCAAAAGGTTTGTCTTGTCAACATTTCAGGTGGAGAGAAGTTGTCTGTATAAAATAGCTTTGTACATGCTCAAAAGATTCAAGTGTATATTCTGGCCATGAAGAAATTACAATGAATATGATCAATTCTGTAGTTGTAATAGTAAATATCTCATTCAGGGATTTTTTTGAATTAACCAGACTTTTCTCTGTTTCTCAACAGATTACAGAGGAAGTAGCTCGTTGTTTGCCTGTAAGAACTATATATGATTCAGCTGTGGTTATACTATGTAATTATTCTATTGATGCTCTGGTAAGTTGTTTAGTAGTGAAATCTCTCAGAAAATCCTAAAAGTGTACAAGCAGTTAATGCTTACATTACCAATTTGTAATAATACACTTATGGATTTAGCTTCTATCTGGGTATGGAAATATTAAAAATATCAGTCGTGTACTCAGGACATACCGGGGTAGGTCATAGATGTCATCCTTGTACATAGAATAAGTCTCTAAATCTCCTACATGCAACTAGACCCCACATGAACAGAGTACGGTTGGTAGGTTTGTGTGGGAAAAAGTGGGATGTATAATTTATGCATCCTTGAGACAAACATTGTAATAGGAAATCACATAAAACAATCACTTGTATTCAAGCCATTTATGTTATAGATACACTAATATTAACTTTATATTCTTTACTAGAATTTAATATGGTTCACTCTTGGATGGTGTGTATTCTTCTATGTGCCAAGTATTATATATGGTGTAAAGCTAGCCAAATACTATCGTATCATGCATAAAGAATATCCTAAAAACAAGAAAGAAAAAAAGAAGGCCAAGAAAAACCAAACAGATAGTGTTGCCATGAAAGACATGAACAGTGATGCTGACACTGCAGATGGTTTAGGTGATAGATCTATAGCATTTTCTTTTCCTTCTACTAATCTTGTTAATAATGACCATTTCAGAAATGTTCCTGAGAATTCAATTTTAGTTGGAAAACGAGGTAAAAGGTATAAAATAGTGTATGTCCCAGAAGATGAGTTTACTAATAGCTCTTATGTTCCAGTTTTATATGAGGCAGAATGTTGAGCTGTCGGCCAAATGGTGATTCCATGAAAGTTAAATTTCAACATTGTTTAGCCAAAACATGTAAAAGAGCATCCAATTCAGTTGAAAATTGGCTGTAGCATTTTGTAGCATCATGTTCACTTCCAAGTGTTTTTGGAGATCAAGTGGTGTCTGGGCAGGATAGTTGTTTGTCTTGAAAAGAAGAATCATCATGCATTTATTTGAAATGGCAGGATACAGGGGGAAATGCCTTGATTCAGAGATGGAATTATTATTGAAATATATGAACTGTATATTTTCAAGGGCCAGTTCATAATTAGATATCGTGAAATTATTACATATAACATTTACATTTTGTTAAATAGTAAAATGCCTATAAAATTAGGATTTACTTGATTTAGCAAGTCTTATTTAGCATCAAGATAAGTACAGAAACTATACAAATTGCATTTATATTAAGTGCCTTGGATTTGTGTTTCCTCATAGAGCTTGCCAACTTGAGTAAGCTTCACACAGGTTAAAAATGTATATAATTATATATTTATCATAAGCAAATGCAGCAGGCTGCATGTTTTTGCTCACAATTGTGGTGATTGTAGTGTTTGAAGTTGCGAAGTGTGAACAATTTACTTTCATAATTGAGCTATTCAATGGATTGCATTGAAATTCCTTTGTGATATGCTGGACACTTTAAGTGCCATCCCTGGGATAAGAAAAAAAAGGCCTTTATTCATATTGATACATGGAGGTTACTTTGTTTTGATATGCTTTTGTTAGACTATGCACAGATGTACATAAATTACTAGCTAGAGTACAAATTACAGCACTGTAACCTTATTAAAGGCTGGTTCTTCCCATTAAGGTTGATTCATTCATGTATTTTTGGTATCACTATTAGCACTACTAACATTGTTTCATTTCTTGTGATGTGATTCTTGTGATTGGTACAGAATATTCATGCTGCCATGACTTTATTTTCATTCTCAACTCGTGAATCCATTTTCCATACCACACACATACATGTGCACACACATACAAATGGTGAGTGTTCACATGTTGGTAGAAGTTATTTGGTGATAGAGAACTGTTCTGGTTAAAGCATCTTTTCCAATGGTCTGAGCATGTCTGTCATGATTTGTGCAGTAGTTCCTTGCAACATGTGCTCGCAGTTGTCTTCTCTTAACCTATCAGAGCAACCTTGTCTGAAACAATTTGTTGTACGATAATAAGTTATGTTATTGGTATTACCAGGTAGTGTATATTATCGTGTTGGTTTGGGGCAAGTTGCTTTCTGTTTAGTTAGATTTGACAGAGTTGTATCTGGTGAGTTGATTCTGGTGGAAGCTATGGATGGACAGAAATGATTACATTGCTTTTTGAATGAAATCAACTGTGTCCCTGTTATATGGGAAGATCTACAACTTGGCTGTATAATAATACAATTAGTAAACATTTCACCAGTCAGCTTATAAAATATACTTTGTAATTGCTGCTTTTTTCATTGTCATTTTTTCTTTTTTTCAATTTTACTTCATCAGCAATATCTTAGCTTTAGTTAACAAACATTGTAACAAAAAAAAAAAATACAAGTTCATGCTATTTCTGTTTTTATTTTAATGGTACTTATACACATCATTCCATATTCTTGTTTCTTTGGTATTTGCCAATAATTCTGTAACATTTTTTTTTTTTTGAAAAATACAATAATATTAATCCTTAAAGAACATGTACTATATTTTCATCTTCATTAATTTTTCAAATAAAACCATACTTCCATACCAATATTCAGTGAGTTTGTTGTGATTATCCAATGTAATACAACACATGTGCTATTGTGAAACCTTTCTTATTCTATCCAAATTACAATTAACATGGATAATTACACTGCTTTTTAAATTTTAACTAATGAGTTAAACATAGAATTGCTTGCTTTACTTTATTTTTTAAAATTATTTTGATTTTAAATAAGCGTAATTATTTGTATTTTTTTAAACTAGGCTATAAATTAATTACTATTGCTTTTCTATCTCTGTATTGCTTCTTGGAACTCTTGGTTGCTTTCTTACTCATGGTTTTAGGTTGTCTTTCTGTTTTAAGAGCTATATTTGTAATTTGTCTTGCACTTGATCTACCAGTTGTTATTTGCATTGTCAGTTTTGTGTGATGCCCAGTTAATGTCTTTGGTTGTGCTAGGTCTAAGAAAACTGTAGGTACATTGTTTTTATCATATACACCACATGTTTTATTTTTTTTCTGCTCTTCAATATCAATACACAAACCTTGAAGTATACCAACTTCTGTGAATGGAAATCTAAAATACAATATGAATACAAAAGTTAATTTCATTATATCAAAGGCACATTTCTGTGGGTGGTACAAGTGTTGCGCTAACAACTATTAAATGCAAACACTGTCTAAACTGATTTCTAATTTTGCCTGTATGTGATAATTCACTTTTATTTATTCTAAGCACTACTAACTTATGGTAAAACTGCCAGCACATAATTGAAAGTCTGTTTTCTTTTCTGGTGTCTTGCTTTGTGCTTTCACATAGACATTGTTGCTTCCTTCCTTGTCTTTTAATACCGGTATGGTATGTATGTGTGTTTGTTTATTCTACATGTACATTGCCACAAACAACGCTAAGTGTGCAATTTATAAAGTACTCCATGTTTTGCGATTGGCTGATTTGCAAAATAATTTAAATTTAGATATCAGTGATTGCATTGTGATATGTGTAAAAGATGCATACACTGACCAAAATCAACACTTGAAATTGGAGTGACATGTGAAATGCGTTCACATATGAACTGTAGCCCAAACCCACATACTAGTAAGCAAATAACACCGAATAAACGGCAAGGTAAAAGACTATGTCTAATTATAGTAAATACGTACTGCGTGCGTGACTCGAACCCGGCGCTC